TAACATTGGAAAGCAGTATGTTTCTCTGCAACCAAATATCTTCACTTGTGTATAAATAACCAAATAGGCACAATAAAGCAACGGTCTGGAAGAGCATGGCTCCCTAATGTATAAAACAGTAAGAGATTTTTGAAGGGTATTTTTTTTCATATCATAGATTTGACTTGAATTTTTAGCAAGTGAAAGATTTCTGCTGTTTGTCTTTTGATAAAAATGAAGTACCAAATCACACGGATTCCTGAATGTACCTGTTGTTGGCATTACTGTTTCAGTCCCTAGCCATATGCCTAAAAACATCTGCAAGCTGAAAAGCCAAGTTCAGAAAAATGAAACAAATAAAAAAACCCCCACAGTTTATAGTAACAGCTGATCCTAGCTGTAAAGGAGCAGATGGGACTCATCCATATGCTATCAGAAAGTGGGAGACCACACAACATCTAAGCTATCAGGAAAGTATCAGATGTTCTAACAAGACAGAAAATACTTTATTTTTTAAAGGCAATTTTATGCTCTAGAAAGTTACAACAATATTTTTATAAGCTCTGTTCCTCATGTTATTTACTCTTTTCAGATGGGATAATTCTTCCAAGTACCAATAGCTCAATGAACATAAAATAAAGTCATCCTAGATTAAAATCTGTATCTACAGAATCATTACAAACCATGTGGGATTTACTCTGATGGATGCTGAAATGCTCTAAATAACTACAGGAGGAATTAAGTAAGATACTGAGCGTTAGCAATACCATGGCAATAGGATCTGTTTAACCAATAAAAACAAATAACACTCACAACTTCTACAAAAGGTTAAAAACCTTAAAAATCTGCAACTTAATAATGAAGAATATGCATTCATTTTCCTGGGGAAAAACCCTGTTACTGACCAGAAAGGTGGGAAAGTTATTCCTAACTACAGTTTCATCTGATTTAACTCCCAGAGTGCTACAAAGAATACTAGATAATGAAGTGTGAAATTTTCCTCCTAAAGGGGTGTCAAAGTATCACTGAAAAGGCAGCAGTAAGAAATAGCCATTCACTCTGAAAAAATCTGGGGCGTTAATGTAACAGTCTGTAAGATCACAAGAAACTTGAAGAGGGAGGAAGGAGATCAGCTGTTCCATTTCTTTCAAGGCAACACTTAAAAGTGCATTGCATCACACAGAGCACAAACAAAGGATGTGTTTATGAGAGGTGGTAGACATGTAGTTTTCTTTGACAGGGTATGCTAAAATTTTGCAGTTTCAGATGGAGAATGAGCAAATCCATGGAAGACTACAAAAATCTTAGAAACTATGCCTCAGGAAGACTCTAAGGTGGGGAAAAAAAAAAAAAAAAAAAAGGTGTGGTGGTTCTGGAAAACTGTTGCACCCGCTTTCCCTGTTTGTACTTTTCTCTAGACACTCTCTTACAGCCACTGCACTAGAGGCATGTTCAAAAACATGTTCTTTCTTTCTTACTTGCTCTTGCTACAACTAACATTAACAGGAAATGAAAGATAAGGTTACTTTTCAGCAGTGAATTTCCCATTAAAAGTAATTATCTTTTTGTGTACCATGATACTCCACTGGCATTGCACACTTTCCTGAGAAAAAAATTAGCTCTTTTGTACATGTATGATACATATATATGTATATGCTGAATCTGTCACATATAAGGTATCTTAGTGTAACCGTCACAGTGTATTTCTGAACAAAACAAAGCCAATTTTAAATCAATTGATAATTGCTCGTGAAAAGTACTTGCCCTACCTAGGAAGATCCAGAAATACTGAGTTCCCATTGGACTACAGAGTTCCAAAATAAAGGAGCAGAAGTACAAACTACGCAATACTGATCTTTGTGTAGTAGTTAAAGACTCAAAATCCCTGGTAGCCTAATCGATTGTCTATAAGCAAAAAGCTTTTCTTTACAATCAGTCTGCATCTTTCCCATTTCAACATAAGGCCTTTTGTCTCTATTCCACCATGCAGCAGAAACAGGAGCCTGGCTCTGTCACTGCAACATCCTCCTCATAGGTACTTGGGCGGCTGCTCTTAGGTGCACCAAAGCTGTCTCTTCTCCAGGCTGAAAAAGTCCTGCTCACCCAGCCCCTTTTCACAGGGCTACTGTGACTTGGTGGCTCTCCAATGGACTTGCCCCAGCTTACTGAAGTCTTTCCTGTACTGGGGGACAGGGACAAAACTTGATACAATAGCACTCAAATGTTGAAGTTGTCCCTTGATAAAAAAAGCAGTGGATGCAAAGTGGATGTCTCACTTTTTGGCAAGATTTTATTAATAAAAAATATATATGCCCTCTTCCCTTTCATCCATCTTAAAATGTGGCTAATAATGGGACTTGCTTTCATAATCTCAAAGAGAACTGCTCCTAGCTAAGAGGTAGCAAAGTAGTTCAGATTTCCTAAGTCCCACTAAACAGAACTAAGAAGTTTCACTCTTGTTAAAGTCAGCTAAAATATTGCTATTGATTTATAGAGGAATCACAGTGGGCTGCTTTGCTATTTCTTCTCAACAGCTGAGTGTCAATTACCAAATTTTTTATAAAAAGCAAGCCAATGTTCAATGCTACTGAGATATTCCAACTATTGCCAGGTATTCAAAATGTTTGAACATACACAGGAAAGGTAGAGAACACAGCTAGGTAGCTACTGGTACAGTATTAATGTTCTTTGGCTTTAAAAGCAATGAGCACAGCGAAAAATGCAAGAGATTTAGTTTTTTTAAAATTCTGTAGAAAGCAAATAAGTAATATCAAACAAAAACTGTTTGTCTTGCATGTATCTGCAGACACTTTGCTCTAAAGTACGACAGAAAATCCTGAATAGCATCAGGGAAAGACGCTAAATGAAGAAAACCAGAATTTGTTCTGAAGAATGGTGAGGTGAAGGAGAAATGTAGAGGGATGTTGAAAATAATATGCTGAAAATATAACATGTAAAAACATGTTGATCTGAAAGTTCTAAAAATTGGTGGAACATGGCTGTAATATGGAAAAAACTGCAATTTGTTTTGGCAGAGTTTTTTAGGAAAAAAAAAGTTAGATGTTGGAAGTAGCTGCATGTGAACTGTTTGAGCTACTTAAAACACCAGAAAATTCTCAAGAAGTTTCAAGTCAACATTTGACTTTCCTTAGGTATAAAAATTCAGGAACAGTTCCATTCCACAGAATTCTTCTTTCAAAAAAATAATCTCGGCCTAAGAAACATATGTCAGCAATACTAGAGACTTAGATGAACATGAGACTTGTCCTTACAGAAGGATAAAGGGATTGCAAGACTTTTTGCAATATTTGCCTCACAAAAAGAGCTGGAGATGAGGAAGAACAGTCTGCACAGAGATTAGTGACAAACTATTTTCTCAGAAGCAAGGGGAAAAGGAGTATTTTGGTTTTCCCTTCACTTTCTTCTAAAGCAGTATAACTTTTCTTCAGCTTTTCCAAAAGAGGATCCACAGAATAACAGCAAGGTTTCATTAGAATCACATGAAACATCAGCTACTCTTTCTTTCCCCAAATAAACCACAATTAAATAATTAGATCACTTCAGTGGTGAAGATGTACAAACAGTTGATTACTGTTTAATGTCAAACTTTTATAAAGAAAAAGAAGCAATAAATGGGACATGAAAAAAACCTGAGAACTCAGGGGAACAGAAGTCTTACTTCCAAGTTTACAGCAAACAGCTGTGAAAAAAATTCCTAAAAAGCAGTTGATTTTCCCCCTTTTTGTGGAGAACAGTTTGTAAGAGAATCCTTGAAAATTTAAACACTATTTTGACATTTTATTCTGTACATGAATTGAATTTGGATTAAAATCCTCTTTATCTATCTGTAAATAATTTTTGTTAACATTTCGTTATTTGATAACCGCAGGATCCAATTCTGATCAAGTATCTGAAGGATAGAGCAATACTGTTTAGACAAATACTATACTCAGACAAGTACTCGCATATTACGCATATAATGCATTTCCCAAAGGTATAATGCAATTAGAATCACAGCATAAATTAGGCTGGAAGGGAATTCTGGAATTCAGCCTCTGGTCAAAGAAAGGCCAGCTGCTCATGAACCTGTCCAGCTGAGTTTTGAGTAGTTCCAATGATGGACATTTCATGGCCTCTTTGAGCAATGTCTTTCAGTGCTTAACCCATTTCGGTATAAATTTTTTTCTCTTCTATCCAGTCAGAATTGTGCTTGCTGAAATTTGACTTTTGCTTTTGTCTTTTCATTCTACATTTCTGAGAAAGGTCTGTCTTTATTACTTGTCATACATTAAACATGTTCTTTGATAAAATGAAATATGAAAATTACAACCTGTGAACACTGGGTTGCCTATAAAGTTGTATCCATCTCTAAGTAATCAAAACTAGGCTGGAAAAAAAAGCTCTGATAAACTTTTACAACCTACAAAACCAGCTACCTGAGAGCAGTAGATCTGAAATGCATACAATCAGTAGAAAACTGCCAGACAAGAAGCAGCTCCACCATCAGGGCATCTACTTATTCAATCATCCTCCTAAAAAGAGTATGTGTAAACCCTCTTGCACAATGCTTCTCTATCTTTGGAAAGGAGGAGATGAAAGAAACCATAACTGTCCCCTTCCTCCCCCTCCACCGGTGTCCCTTTTGCATCCTCCCAGCATCGAACTGCTATCACAAGCATTGGTAAATAAAACACAGCTTCCAGTCTGAGTGGTTTTTATAGATTTACAAAATCATAGCAATCCTACAATAATAGCAAACATTTTAATTTGGTACTGATTGCAATTTAGGCACTAATTCTCAATTATGCTGACAACTAAGTGGGAATGCATATGTACATGGATTTTTTATTTAAAATATTGCTATCACTTTGTGTTGCTGTCACATTTTATTGTCTTAGACCACTTGTGGTCTTCATATAAGGGTAAAGCAAAGTTCCCTACAAGTGATTTGTTAACACACTGGGAATGTAAAAATGCCTGTGCTTTGATGTACACAGAAATGTGAAAAAGTACAGACATACCTGGTCCAATGCAGAACGATGCAATGATTGCAAGGATGCAAAATATACTGAGGTAAGGAAGCCAATGCACTGTTTTCTGGGTAGATAAAAGACATTCACATTAAGTATATTGCACGTATCACCAATATTAAAAAAATCACAGATAACAGTGTTTTCCACAAATCTTTATCTATTTCAGAATTCAGTCTAGGATTACCTTAAAAAAAATCACAGTATTTCTGTAGAATCTTATTAGATGATTAGTATTAAAGGTCTTGGTCTCTGTGGAATCCCTTGCACCACAGAAGTCAAAACTCTGAAAGCTTACAGCTTCTTGTGCTAAAGTTCAAGCAAACCTAGGAAAGACTTTTTCTTTCCATTGAACAAATCCAGCACTTCCATATCCTCTTTAGGTATTTCAATCATGTTTAAAAAGAGCAACTATGCTGGCCCATAGACCTTCAAAGTTCACCAGTTAAAGGCTGAACTGAAGTCTAGACACAACAGGCTGTCCTTCTGTAGGACAGCTGTATCTGAACCTTAGCAAAGCATGTGAAAGCCACAGTTCAGGGATTTTTAGCCATAATCTGATATTGCAGACAAGGAGGGCCACGTGTGCAAACAGGTACAGGGGAAAAGAGAACAAACTATAAATAGTTCTGTAAGGGAACTTAAATGGAATTGCCTATCTTCCTCACAAGGCACTCTTTTTTCTCTCTTTTTTCTGCTTTTAAGTAGATTTTTCTTTATTCAGACCTCTAAATGACAGGAACTTTAAATGAAATGAATGATTTGTACTGAGTTTTCAGGACACTGTTTCTGAATCATGTATGTGAATGTCTGATAACAATACTATTCTCTCTTCATCTGTGGGGTTTTTTTTTCCATCTTCACTACATTCTCTCTTCATCTGTGGGTTTTTTTTTTCCATCAGCAAAGTGTGAATGACATTTTTATTAGAGTTTTACCATTTTTTCAAAGTTGGTTAAGATATGTGTAACTGTGGTATCACAAAATATCACCTTCAGTGGCACTGTAAAAATATACTTGCTAAACCAGGTAATTATTTATTTCAGTGTTAAATTAAGACCCCAATTTTCCAATGCTTTTTTTCTTCCAGTCTGGGTTATTCCTCTCATTATGTGGAAAACATGGTCTCCCACACATTAACATTAGCCAAGAGACCTGTAGATCTATCAAAATTACGCATTATGGAGTCCTCATCTGAACGCAGATCCAAGGTCTCTAAAAGCACTGAGAGAGGGAAGGTACAAATACGGAGTAGATACAAATCGTCTGACATCAAGCCTATTTGTACCCTGGTCGTTTGTTCAACACAATACCTAATCTCTAGTATGTAACCGATTGAGACACTTCTGAAAGGAAGAAAAACTGAAAGGCACTCAAATTTCTGATATTTACAATTGCTGAAGGTTCTCATGCATCAAAGTAGGTTTTAGAAGATTTGGAAGATAATTTTTCACTTAGCATACAAAACTTGCAGTAACCTCTCTCTTCTGGAGACCTGTCATAGCTGTCATGATGGGTATGTGATGTAAAGCTTTATCGTGCTGTACATACAGGTGAGTCAAAAATTTGCCGTGGTGTTGGCATGCATCTGCTAGTCCAACTGACTTACTGACACTTCAACCAAGAAACTAGAATTTGAAAGTCAGATTAATGGCTAGACACAGGAATCAATGACACCAGGAACACAATCTGATGAAAGACCAGCCAAACCCATGCTGTTGCAGATGTCTGTTTTACTTCTCAAACAGCCTCAGGAACAGAAAGAAACTGCATCATTATGTAAATGGAACCTAACAAGGGGAAATGACTCAGGGTCAGTATTTAGAGTGGTTTAATTAACTCCCTTCTGACCATCTGAAATAGCTGGGGAACTGACTGCTAATAACATCTGAGAACGTAAGTGCAAATGTTCTGCAAAGGCTAAATCTTTACATTTTCACTAAAAATATCAGAAATGTAACTTGAAAGAAACAGTAAACATTGGAATTTTTCACTACTGGGAAAAAAGAATGAGGATGACATATAAAGTATGAAATAAATCTCAGAAAGGCTGCACTACGAAGATAGATAAAAACACAGAATATGGGTAAACTATTTACCCAACTATGGGTAAAACTGTCCTCATAGTAGTTCATGATATGCATGAATCCTTGAGTTAAGGAGACTGAATATGACAAAGCCCCTATGGCTTTTTAATGCAAAAGCTGCTATGGCTAACCATAGTACTTTGAAACCAAGAGATCCATAAAGAAGCAAAAGACAGAACTTTGAATCCTTATGCCAAACTGATTAAAAGGATTGACTTATGTAGGAAACAGGCAAAAGAGAGAGTAAAAATACGTAGTGACCACAGCGTTACCTGCAAAGTCAGAGAGACAGTAAGCACCGCGAAGAAGACAACCATCAACCCAAACCCTCCGATGAGAAGAGGCCTGCGTCCAAGCCGTTCAATAACTAAGCCCTGGAAAACAAAAAGAGACATTTGACTTTCTTGATAAAGCACTGAAGAACTCAGATCACGTAACATGTTCTAGTAAATATGAAGATCACAAACAAAACCATGAGAGTTGATTTTATACTATTTATCAGCTATGACATGTTCATAATCGCGTAACTGTGTTCACAATTATGCTTACACAATTTAACCTCTCTGAAAAAAACAAGTCAGCATAGCATCTTTATTTGAGACAGCTGAAAAAAACTAGGAAACCATCAAAGCAGTACTTGGTATTAGTTTTATGCCTGAAATTCCTACTACAGAACAAATATGACCACATAGATAGGAAAAATGCGCAACTAGGAAATTCAAGTTTAATACTGTTAGTGTGGTAGATTTCCAAGTTATTACTACATGTGCAACCATTTATTAATAAAACAAGTGCTGTACATCCACTATATAAAAATAATTAACATGATGATAACTACGTGACGTTTGATTTTCTTGCAGGGCATAAATAATTATACATTCATTGAATGGTTTAAAAATTTGCACCAAATTCCTATAACAATGTTATTAGAATATGTAATTCTAAAATGTCAGAATGCTGGAACAAATTACAGTCCCCTGCTTTTGCATTTTGGCTGCTTAATTTCAACATCTCTCTGAATTTAAGCTAAAGAGGCTTATAATTTAAGATCAAAAGCTTTCTAGCATAGATTTAATGTTTATTAATCTAAAATATATTTTAAATTTATTTTTTCTCCAAACACAATATAAACATTTAGTCACTGTAATTAGAATATCTGGATAAAAGAAATCAACCCAGCAAAAAGCTGTGCTCAGACAAGTGATTGTAACAGATACTTGTGCACTCATGCACATTGTGAATTTATATTTGACACCTGAAGATAAATCAACTTTGTTAAAAGCAAGAACAAAATCTGAATACTTATCTGCTAAATAACGTAATGAAGAATTTCTTGAAAAGCTGTAACATGAAACTGTTTTTGCTAGTCTGACTCATTAAAACAGGCAAACATATTTTAGGTCATAACAGCTGATGTACAATTCTTACTGATATCTACTATAGTTACTAATTACAGATGGCTTTCCTGTGAGAAGGATAAAACAATTTTACAAAGCCTGAAATAAGTTAAACTCAGAGTCATACAACTGTTTGCCAGGTCATTATTTACTGGAGAATTTAAATCCCTCTTCCACACATCCTTTGAGCAAAAGATAAAATGAGCAACTAAATGAAATCTAGAGTAATGCCCTTAATTCTGGGTGATGATGCACAGTGTTCTGCTGTCAGCACCTAGAAGAAATGTGTTAAAGACAAGTACAAAGTCACTCAGGGAAGAAACACCTTGTGTGGCAAGTTCTTCTCCTGCAGCATTGGGTTCATCAGCAGATTTTAGGACAGGCTTCAAAACACGCCAGCCTGGACTTCCACACCAGAGGTGTACACAGTAACACTGCAGAAATGGAAAAGCAACTCTGGGGAGAGCTTTAGCACTCTCTATTTCTTTAAATGAGGAAATATACTCATTTTGACAGTTTCCACAGCTACCAAAATAGAATTTATTTCAGAGTCGTGTTTAAAACAGACCTGCACTGATGTTATTAACATCATTGTGTTCACAGGGCCTAAATTTTCCAAAACTGAAAATGCAGGTCAAAACCTCTACAAGATGCCAAATATTTTTCACTATGATTAATAAATGTGGCCACACATACATTTAGCTGAGAGATTTTTTGTGGTTCCAAGGGATGAAAAGTTATCTGATGGGTCTGTAAGAAGACTTAAGACTTCTGCAATAGATGCTGCATATATAATTTCACATACCAGGGAACTTCACTTATTTTTTTCAACTCAGGATTGGTGATCATGATTAAACAAACCTTGGTGTTACACCACCTGTGGATTTTGTAATTAAAATGGGGTAAGGGATGAATATTTCTCTTCTAGGGGAAAAAGGTTCATAGATGCCTTTCATACAGAGCATAACATGGGAAAAAAGTGATAGATCGGTTTTGGTTGTAAAGCTCAAAGCAAAGCAAATCCCAGTAAGGGAGGATAGTTTGGACTCAGTCCTCTGAAAAAAAAACCATGTGTATGCACTTGTGCCTACAGACACTGAGAACAAATAGTGTGGACATATTTGGGCAAATCTAGGTGGGTTGGTGAGGCACTCACAGTTTAAACTGAGACACAAGCAGAGATACAGCAGATCTGCAGGTTCCATATTGTTTTTACAGAAGAGGACAGCAGTTTCTATATATTTAAATTCCTTTTTACTCAGAGACAATTCATGAAGAAATAAAACAAATCCATGTGCAGTCATTCTCCCTGAGCTGATGCCACGTTTCCCAAGCATTCATCATTGCTATTTATTTAATACAGTAGCAATGCAGAACTAGAATGCTTCAGCTTCTGGGCACTCTCTGAAGTTTCTGCTCCAAAAAATTTGTAATTACAATTCTTGGTGACATTTCTTGTGATTTATGGAATGGACCAATTTCATTCACTGGAGAAAATCAACAGGAATTATGTTCTTATTCACAGGGACACTATGATGTACGAGAATTGCTGGGAATCCTATAATAATTTCCAAAGTTGATATGAAGTTAAGTACACTGACAGCACTAATAAATCTAGGAAATACAGACATGGAAGGCTTCTCAACTAGACATGATTAACTTGCACAATTATGAGGAGAGAAATCCCTACTTCCATTTTAAAGCTAAGGACACCTCTAATTTGTTCAGACGCATGACCTGCCTCTTGTATCATGAGTTCCAACCCAACAAAACACATGTGTTTATGGCACAAATTCAAACAAGGCACACTAGCCTCTGCTGAAATGGGACACTACATGGAAACAAGCTCATGAAAAGCCAAGTGCAACAATCAAAACCATGTTCCCTACCTGGTTATAAATTACAAACCTGTAATCTTGTAAAAGGTAGCATTTGTGTTTGCAAAGACAGGGGTCTGTGGCTTTGCTAGTCAGGAGGCAATGCAGAAGCATCCCAGGGCCCAGTGGCAGATCAAAGTTGTTCAACTGCGAGCCAATCCACAACAGAAAACCCTCTCAGGAGGCACCATCTTTCACCAAGGCCAGAAAGGTTTTTTGAATCATTTAAGTGCACAGACGCTTCAAACACCCAGTCCATCAAGCTGTTTAGGTCTACAGTATTTCTAAGTAAAATCTCATTTATTTTTGAGGATTTCTTAAGAAAACCTATGCCATGACATCAGTACCTCAAATTTGCCTGCTGAATTGTTTGTTACCCTTTTCTTGATGGAAAAAAAAAAGCTCAGATAAAGTCTGAAGTTTCAGCAAATACTTGAAAAGAAAGGTCTAATGTCTTTAAAACAGCAAGTATCCTTGGTTTTGAGGTTATAAACAGACAACAACTTCATTTTTAGTTACGACTATACAAATCCAAAACTTGTTAACTTGCAAAACCCACTATGATGCTTATGACTCATAACAAGTAAAAGATGATTCACCAGTTTTCAAGTATTTAGTTCTGAATGCTCCAGTTGCTATGCACTGGTAACTGTTACCTATTGAAGACTTATAACTATTCAAAATATACTACATGGTAGAGTAAATGAAGTAACAAGAAATCCGGTATATGCTCAAGCACAGGCAAAAAAAAGAATCTTACAACTGTTTTCTGTGATAGCACAGAGTTATTTGCCAAATTGTGTAGGCTGATACTTGTTTATGTGTGATCATAAACATGCATTTGCAGAAGACTATACCCAGTCATGGTAATTAACACAGCTGAAATTACTGAAAATGTGTAAAAAAATATTGTAACCAAAGTTCTCTCAACACAAACGCTTGGTGATAATAAGGCAACTAATATGCATACTAAGTTAACAGTTCACACAACTTACTTTTGTCTGGCAGGAAACGCGAATAAAGTTAAAAAAGCAAATGTCAATCTTTTCACTTGAGTCAGCTGCAGATACCGGGGCTGACATAATTAAAGCAGAGCGCATTAAAAAAGATCAGACAAGCTTCTCTGGATAAAACAAATGTGTAAGCAAGTTCTACAGCCCAAATGGGAGGTCACAGAATACTATTCCCTGCTCATTTCCTGGTCCTATCCTAAATTATGCTAAGAAAAACCCACTAGATTTTCTTGATGTCTCAGCTCTCTAAAGAAGTTCGATCTACGTGCTGACATCAAGAGTAGACACACTTTTTTCTCATGTATTTTGGATATAGGTCTGAATAAGTCTGTATGTCTTGATTCAGACTTAACGTGACAAGCTAACTCGGTGTTCTTTCCATTTTAAATAGCAGAATTAAAAGGGGTAATCACATTTATATCACCGTCAGGTTTATTTATGACACAATGTGTGGTATCTTGCATCCAGAAAAAGGAGAACAGAAGACTGATGGTTATAAATTGTTTTTTTAATTCATATTTTTATGTATATCCATTTGTCTACTGTATGAATTATACAACTGTATAACAGCTGTAAACAAAAAAAAAAGGGTTATTTAATTTAAGTATCTAAACTGGAATTTAGAGGCTTAGCATCAATACTGACCACATAAGCACAAGCCTTAAATGCTGTGCCTACTCTAGCTCTCTCAACAGTTTGCCTGTATGTGTGCTAATGCCATGACAGGGTAAGATCCTACACGTTTTCTGTAGGTACCAGGCTAGGGATTACTATCAGCAAAGGGTGGAATTGACTGCTATGTTTCTAAGCTCCGTCTGAACTATTTTGCAGTAAAGCATCCTTAAACATCTTCACTTGGCAGTGAAATTTTCCATTCACTGGACCAGCATGACCAAGATGTAGCCCATGGAGGGATTCACTCTAGTCATCCGCTTCACCTCAGCAGTGCCTGGGAACAGCCCTTAGGGTGGCATAGAAACCCCCCATTATCTTATTCCTATTATGTCACTTCAGTAAAATGTAGGTATTTTTGAAGCAAAGATCCTGCTGTTGATGATTTATTTGTTAAAAGCATTAAGTTTTGTCT